TCTTACGATTGTTCTTTTTAATTGAATTTAGTGTATTGCTATATGCAATTGTTGAAAACTTATTTTTAGTACTACATATTAATATGTGTATCTATTTATATATTTATAGTCTATTTCCTATACAAAATAAATTATAATTCCTTTGCTCAACACACATATTTTAATACAAAAAATTCAACTTTGAAATTGTATTTAAGAACAATTCGATTATTCAATTTGGCCAAGCCATATGTTTTAAATAATTTAAATATTTTAAATATTTTACTTCTTTGGGACATAATTGACTTAAACAGAATGTATAATATATTTTATATACGAAATAGTTTTCTGTGTACGAATATTTATGAATCAGAACTCCATAAAAAATTGTACATTTTTATTCAGTATCAATGATGACTAATCCGATAATTTTTTGTCGTATATTTTTGTTGATAATTTACATAATAAAATCGTGTAGGTGCGTTAATGACACCTCAAATGATATTTATTTCAATTTGTTTCAATGACATAGTTATATATTTGTCTTTAGTAAAATATTTCGTAAAAAATATCTTTCGTCGATATTTGAATTTTTTGCATATGTTTTATTTTTGTTTGGAATATCACGAGCTAAATTTCTCTCAACAAGTGTCATCAATGTTGACGATATTGACGCAAGGAGTTTTAAATTGAGATTCTAAAATTAAAGATTATTGTAGTTTACTAATTTTAGACATCTATATTTTGCCAAAAGTAATGTAAGTGAAAGACGGGTGCATTTTCTATAAATGTTCGAAATACTTTGTTGATATATTTCATCTATAAATCAGGGTATATAGACAAAACAAAATAGAGCTATAATTTTAGGGGAGAACAGGAGAGAATAGAGCTTGCAAAAAGTGTAATAGGATTTGTAGTCATAGACCTTAGAATACATGTGTTCCGTATAGGTCTATAGTTGAGTTTCAATTACTTAAAAATATCAAAATTCATTAAACAATATTTTTGGTTGAATACAAACCTTGCAAAATAATATTCATTTTTTATTTCCATATAATTACAATCTGCCTGGTAGGCATTCAGTAATATTGGTGACAAATGTATAGATATGAGACTTTAAAATAATTATTCTACATTACATTTGAATTTGCTAAATGTAAAGGTTTAATTCTTTTGAGTCTTCTGGATATATTTGATGAAAGCAGGCCTTTTACAAGTTGACTCGGATTATATTCAAGTCTAATTTTGTACTTAGATTGATTCCCAAAAATTTTTATTAAAAAATTTCTATTTCAAATTTCTATATGCGTGTTTGGTATACGTTTTTGTTGGACTAATATAAGAACGCTTCTGGTCTTCCTTATTTTTTCAAAGAGATTTGACTTTATAAAAGTCCGTTATTATTGGTCCATGCGTTTCGGAAATTAGCAGGAACAGGCAGGTTTAAAAAATAGAAAAAGTATCAGTATGATATAAATGATAATATTATATAGATCCATATTAATAACAATGTAAAATTTTATGGTAATTGGTATGTCTGAGAAACCTTTAGTGCACAAATAATTCATTTAGTATGAAACTCTGAATACCATTAATCTTGTCCATTATTAATAAAATATTGAAGTTTATATTAATTAAATTAAATTTTTCAAGGCAACAAAAATAAGATTATATATAATCGTTCTTCAAATGTAATTTATTAGCTGATTATTATTACAGCTTGGCGAAACCAAACATTAGGCATTTGCAATTATAAATTTTGCATTATACAAAATCAAATAGGCAATAGCAATTTCTTACCAAAACCGTGACTCAATCCAATACAATTCCTTTGCAAGAATCGTCATTTGTTTTTCTCTATTAATCATTTGTACTAAACGCTTTCGTACTTTTATTGTTTTGCATTCTTATTGTTCTGTGTTTGATTATAACATAATTTTCTGATAATTTTATTACGCATTTGTGTTTTTATAAAAGTTTTCTATGACACACATTTTAAGGAAAATCAGCATTCGTAAAACACGAAGATTTTTCAGTAATTTGTACTGCTATTACAAAACATGGAAAAGCGTATCGAAGGTTGATCCTGAGGCATGTAAATTTTGCAATAGAGTCGCTTTTCCTTGGACTCTATTTGTTGTGAGTTGGAAATGTTTAATTAATTCATAATTGAGAAATAAAATCGATAATGAGGGAATATAAGCTTTCTAAAAATATGAATATAAGCAGCATATTATTTTTATATTATTTATCACAATAAATAAACAATAGATAGTACTTCCCAAAGACAGGTTCTGAGCTAAATTCCATCTCGATTCAGAGAAGAATAGTGTGAAAGGTTTACGATTGCCATTTTACACCACAGTGCCCGAAGTTGGAAACATATTTTTGATCTATATTTTCAAGTGAAAATGGACATTGCTGCTACATGAAATCAGGTTGCCAGATATCAGCGACCCCGTCCATTTATTACAATGCACTTATTAAAATAGACAATGATGCATTTAATAATAATATTCGTGGAAACGAATACATATTATATATTGGAACTGTTATTTCTGATTTGTTTGTTTATTCAACATCTATTATATAATGATTGGGATATAAATATGCTTTCGCCACTTCATTAATTTCTTAATATTTACACTATCCTGTCAGAAGAATAAATCTTTGATCCATGCTAATTATAAATAATTGTTATAGTAGACCAAGAATTGAAACTTCGAGCTTTAATTATATTTATATACAAATTCAATCAATACATTTTGATTCATTTAAAATATTATAAATTCATATTTTCGACTTTGGACTGCTTCTCATTTGAATGTGCTTTTGTTTTGTTGATAAATTTATTCCTGAGCCATTCAATATTTTAAAAGACTAAAAAAAATAATTATCGACTGCGATATAGAGGTTAAAATCATAAAATGTCTATATAACGATATATACCTAGTTTTGTTGTAATACAGAAATATATATGAATATTGTTAATTTCTATTGGTTTCGATCATTACGTACTACATTCTCAGAAGGTGATATCATCTACCTTTTATTTTTGCGTTGTATTTATTTGATTACTGAATTATTAAACAAACTATTTGTTTGAATCGGTACGTAGGTGCTATATATGTCTAAATCAAATATTATTATATAATCAATGATTGTAAGTCATGGCGATTTTTTCTTTTCAAGTTTCTTAGCTGTTTTTTCTTTCATTAAAATTAGTTATAAGTTTCATATTTTTGATAATCTATAAGTATTTTTAATAATTTTGTAATATGCAATATCTTCAATGATATGTACATATTAGGTTGTCAAATATCTCCCTTCCGCCTTTTTGTATTATAAACCAAGAGCAAAAAGTGGAAGGGAGATATTTGACAACCTAATATATGTAATATTTTTAATATTTTATCATTTCTTATGCTATTTTTTATATTTATGTAAAAAATATCTGCTCTTAAAAAAATTTCTAAGGATAGAGATCTTGAAAATATCTACTATAAGATAAGGTGAATAACTAATATTACTAAAGAGAAAATTACCTCAAAATCGTATATTAAATACAAAAATCTTCAATAATTGAATTTGTTTCATGGTTTTTGTACTTATATATACACTCTATTTTCTGAATTTTCAAAGTCTTCCTTCAATTTCACATACAAATAGCAATATGTGAAGTGAAAAGTGAAAATAGCTTTTCCTCTGCAATGCTGCATCCAATAAAAAGTCATCAGTATTAGAGTTTCTAATAATAAATATATCATATAGAGATAGAACAACCACTGAGTTGCTATCTATGAAGCCAAATCATTAAGAAGAAAAATATTCAGTAATTGCATTTGCTCTGATGTTTTAGAAGTTAGTATTTATACTTTGATAACATACTTGAATTTCTGAATTTTGAAAACTTGAAAACTTATATTTTACTTATTAATAGCATTATATTTCCAAATGAAAATAGCTTCTTCCCAACATTGCTGCACCCTATAAAGTCATCAGTATTAGAGTTTCTAATGATAAATATATCAAATGTAGATATGACAATCGATGGGTTGCCATCTACAAAGCCTCTTTATTAGGATTCGTTAGATTCTGATTTCTGTTAATATAATAACAAAAAAATACTATGCATAATATGTACATGATACGAATATTATATTGTATTCCGACAGATTTACAAAGATTGCTATTTATATTATCATGGTCGTAAACGATAAAAATATTTCTCCAAATATTTCTCTTATTGAATCTCATCCAACTTCAAATTCAAATTTAAAACGTTTCCAATTGAAAATAGCTCTTCTATGGCATTACTTAATAAAAGGTCATCAGTATTAGAATTTCTAATAATCATAATCAGTAGATAGGACAACCATTGGGTAGCCACGCATAAAGCTTGACAAGAGCCTGAAATATTATTATTGATAAATTCATTATCTACATATATATATAAATAAGTCGGGTTTTCCTTCCTGACAATTTAACTCTAGAAGGCACAAACCGATTTCGACAATTTTGCATTCGTTGGAAAGGTCTCGGGCTCCGCATGGTTTATAGCTAAGAAAATTAGGTGCATGGCATCGTGCCATTAAGAAAATCATTGTTTTTCACATGGGCAGTTACACGTTGCCTGCTCACGAGTTGGAAAACCATCCGCTTTGTTTGTGTTAACGTCAGACCAAAAAACAAAAAATGTGGTTTACCAAAGAGCACTTCAGTGAAACGGATAATTTGCGGATTCACTTTCATTTACTTAGAGAAGTTCAACTAAAAAACACTCCATTTTGTAATCGAAATAAATTCATTACTGCTGTGCAATAAAATCAATTTTTTCCTTTTCAAATATAAAACAAACAAAAATATTCTTCATCTTTCTCATGAAACATCTGGTGGCGAAACGGAGTTCGTCGGGTTTGCTAGTTATGAATAAATAAATACACTGGAAATTATTTACCTTAAATTAATAAAAATAGTTCATTTTATTTCTTACCAATTAACCTGTTTCTTTTATCCCTCAGCTGGACACTCTGTTCGGACGTCCTCGTAAAGGAGCAAACAACTCCCCTCGGCCTCACTCGGATTTGGGGCTGCCCGGCGGTGGCAATGGTTTCCACGGTGGAGCAGGTCCAGGGGGAGTCGCAAATGCAGGAGGCGATAAGGCCGGCGGCTACGGAGGCGCCACGAGCAATCACAACGAGGGTGGACACAGTAATAGATCCGCCGAGATAGCAGCCCTCAGTCAGAAAGAACTGGAGGTTCGCTTCGAGGCACTTCTGGTGAGTTTGATTGTATTACAGTTGGATTTAATTATAGGAGCCTCGGGTGGTTCAGGTTATTTGATTTGGGATAATGTGGATATATGAGTTCCAATCAGTCTGCTGCCAAGTTCAATCAACTTTTATATAAATTAGTGGTGTATGGCATATTGCCAGCCCATTGCTGTAACTTTCCATACCATAACTAAAAATTTTTCAAAGCTTCAAGTTTTGTGGAAAATTTTGAAAAAAATAATTTTTTCGAACGTTGTTGAAATTTTTGAAAAGTTGGTTGATATTAACTGTCGAAAATGTCGAAGTCATTTGTTTGAACTATATAAGTTAACTTCAATTATTGTAAATATTGGTACGGAACCTATAGACCAGGAAATATATTGTTCTTATTACTAAAATTTCTATAAAATATCTGATTATTTGGTGAGCATATATCTAATTATTATTTTTGGCAACCAAATGGCATTTTTTCAACTTTTTTCTGGAACTCCGGGGATCTCCGAAACAGCTGGACCTGCCTTCCAGTCGGTCATTTTCAAGAATTTAATCAGTTCTTCATTGTATACATCATACAAGTGAAATGTTTCTTGAAATTCACGTCGGACGCTCCGTACTCTCAAAATTGGATTGTCATTTTATCCCCGTATCTTCGAAACGGCCAGATCTGCCTTTGCCAAAAACTGATCAGCACGTCTTCCCATCAATAGGAAGTTAATAATAAATAAAATATTCAAATATTTTTATAAACTTCATTGAACTAGAATCAATTATTTATCTTTTTTGTATTTTTTCCTTCAATGATTTTTGAAAAGTTTTATTATTGAAGATTTCTGATTTAATGATATGAATAATGAATGAAACGAAAAATATTTCATTTTTAATATACACGTAATTGCTCTTTATCAATTTATTTAAATTTGGGAGGAGGTAATCACGTGACCGACTTTTAAAAGTTTTTGGTTCGTTCATCTCCCTTGATGATGTGTCGTGATTTTAAAATTACTTTCCTCCCCCATCATCGCATGTATTTTAAGTACATAGAAAAAAGTTTTTTATTTTTTTTTTTTTTAAATTACGATTATTTTTTAAATTCGGGTAAAAAACAATTGCACGCGATATTTTACTAGATCCCCCCCCCCTCACGTGATACTTTGTTTTTTTTTTTGTTAAACTTCTCCACCCTTTGCAAGGCTCACGTGATTAATAGATGCCCCCTTACGAGATCTACGTCTATTACTAAAGTCACATATTATTTTTTTAGAATGTCATGATTTATCAAGGATCAAAAATGGATTATTAGTTTTTCGTAATTTATTTATGTTTTAATTTATGTGATCTAATTTTAAAATTCTTAAAAATGTTACATATTAATTATTCCTTTTTTTTTCAGAATGATATGAATTTATCAGAGGCCAAAAAGACTCCGCTGTTAAATATGCCCGACGATTACAAACGCAAAATGTTGGTAATGCACTTGAAAGGTGCTTCAGATGTAAGTATGAAATACATATATATTTACTGATTTTTTTTTAATAATTTCATATAATTTTTAACTATTTTAATTATTACAGGAATACCGTCCACATTCCAAATTCGACAAAGCTCACGATTATATAAATTATTTAGCACAACCAGAATTAAGTCTGAATAAAACGCATGCGTGCGTTGAAAGTTTAAGAATCGCTCTGACGAACAATCCCTTAAGCTGGGTACAAGACTTCGGAACAAAAGGTTTGCAACAGCTGCTTGAAACGCTGAACGAATGCTACAGGAAAAAGTGTGTTGTATATTGAAATAGTTCCGTACTACTAATAATAATTAGCGTCTTAATGTTGATAGATCAAACTATAAATATTTTGAAAACACAGTTATGAGATTATACATATTTTTAATTGCTTCTATAAATTTGTTGAACTCTATTTACTGATATTTTTTCTATAATGTGGGATGATCAGTACTTATTGGAAAATATGAAAGCCAATTTCACTTAATATCTTTCTAATTAAATATTATTTTCTAATGCATC